ATACAACTTTATTTATAAAGCACTTTAAAACAACACCGTTGGCCAAAGTGCTGTACACTAACACATACAAGCATAAAAACTATGAACTCGACAAATACCATAAAAGTGATGAACTACCAAATCATAAAACGGCAAACAGTAACAACAATAAAGCAAATAACATAAAACAGTAAAGCCAACAATGTAAGGCTATGAAAAAGCCTTATTAGCTACAGTTTGGGAGTAAAACTTTTCCAAATATATTGGTGGTCAGAAACTTATCATTGAAACGTAACATCAGTCACTTTTCTGAACAGCCAATGCATCTGAGATGGCGTAGTAACCAACTCCTGTATGACACTTCAAAGCTTTGATAATGAGGTCTGCTATGTCCAGTCCATAAAGATCCCTCTTGGTATGGATCTGACTGTCAGCAGTGCACAGAGGCCATTCCTCTACAGTCATGCCAGGTAACCCACCTCCAGTCCCAGAGGACCCCCTATCACTGGCACTTTGATCCAAACATCTGTGAAGATATGATCACTCTTTACCTTGATGGTTACTCATTTCAGCACACCATTCTCAGTGCAGGTGGTGGGATTGTCTGGTTTGATGCCAACCCACAGGACTCTCTCAGATTCCTGTTGGGACCACATACATTGCAATATTTGGAAATGGCAGGCATCCTCGTTACTCTACAACTTGCTGCAAAACACAAAGGTCATGTTGGTCATCTCGCAGTGCTTTTTTCTCCCCTTATATCTTCCACAGGGCGACGTGGTACATTTGGTAGAGCTGCATAAGGTTTTGCAAAGCTAATTGTTTTTTCAAAAACAAAAGTTTATGGCTAATTTTCCAACCAAAAATGGAAGAATCTGTTAGCAGACACAATATGTCTTAGGGCTCACTTGGAATCGGGTAGACCCAAAATAATCAGTTATAGAGACTTGTTCGATGATTATTTTGTGAGAGTTTCAATCCTGTCTAGTGGTTTATGAGGGATATCAATGAGGATTCAGTTTCACATGATTTGATGCATTCCTCTTTTATTCATATGGGTTTTTTTTGCAGTAATTTCTGGCAAATTGCATGATATCAGTTCATAGGCCAACCTATAAAACTTCAAGCCACTGGTGACTTCCATCCTCTCACATCATAGCTTAAGTTTTCCACTTGCACTGTCTCTGGAGTAATGTGGAGAATGAAATGCCAAGACAAACACTGATTAAGGAGATTAAAGTTCATGGTTTTACTGTGTTGTTCAGTTGCTATGGTGCAAGAACACCAGCTGCTCTCCAAAGTGTCTGCCAGTGTGTCATTGTGGACACAACACATAGTTGTCTCCTGTTTAATGAACCCAATCCTGCAGGCAGCAAAGGCTTGCACTGAATCTGAACCTTTGACATGCTTTTGACCTTTTTAGAATCACTGTTTTTCTCTATTTTTGTTTTAATATGTGCAACTTTTTTTGTTTACGGTATATATTACTGCAATACACCGTTACAAATACACTCTCTTTTCAGTCTTTATAACTGGGCCAAATTTGTCTCCATATCTACGGCTGGACCTTTGGTTTACATCAGTGTTTTCTAGACATGTCTGCAGCTCAGTTTTATTTTTAGAAATGTCTTCTTTCTTTACAGTTATACGTAAAAGTTGAAAGGCAGAAGTGTAATTTTGATCACCTCACCCCACCATGTGCTTCAGTTGGCCTCCAGTGGACATTAGAGTGAGACTGGTCTGTAAGATGAACTGAACAGAACCGTCACTCTAAAATAAATCTGCTCCGCCTGTTCCGCTCTGGTATGTGTCCAGACAGGTGGCTCGGACAGCCGTGCAGCAACTTCCAAACATTTGGCACCAAACAACGCACACAGCGCTGCACACCACAGATCAGCAATGGAGGTGCTGTGGGAGTTGTACAAAAGGGGAAAAATAAGTACCAGTATTGTTCCAGCTGGTTTGTGGTTAATTTTTTGTAGTTTCCATCAAGGCCACTGGAGGTCAGGAGAACATCACAGGCTTTATAAAGCTTTTAAAGCGCAAACATTTAGATTTGAATATGGACTGTTGCCAAAGGTTAAAGGGCAATAATGTTTTTGCCTGTGTGCATGTGAGATTGTCTTTCTGTTAGTGAAATATCTTATTAAACACTAGATAACTTCTTTGAAAACACTCAAATTAATCACTGCACATGCATCTACAATTAACTTTGAGTCACAATAGCTGCCTCAACTGAGCCACATTAGCAAACACAAAAATGGATTAAATTATATCCGTCTTTTAAATATTGAGTTAATTTGGTGCGGCAGTAGCTGAGAGTCACTCTCAACACATACAAGCTTTTATTAAACAAGCAAGATCAGATTTTAAAGCTTTGCTGTTAGCTGCTGGA